GTGTTCTGTGTGGTTGCCAGGGTGTTGCTATTTGGTTGCTAGGGTGTTCTGTATGGTCTGTATGAAGTGGAATCCATATGTCCTGCCAGCAGGTCTTCTGATGAATGTAAATTCAGGTGCATCAGTAATAACATGTTTACAGCAGGAAGAAACTCTTCAGTGGACCAGACGAGCCATCTGAGGTCCATTTGTAATATTTGTTTCATGGCCCTCTTTTTCCATTGATGGCCTTTCAAACATATCTGTGTATTCTGATTGGAAAAAATATTTTTTGCAACATGTGTATTGCTAATATTTCATTACTTTACAGTTGATGTTTTTGAAAGCTCTTATAATTGTGAATTTTGTGTTCTTGTCATAATGATGAAAGTCTCTGGTGTCTTGTAGAAATTAAAAGCACATTAAATTACAATGTGTTCCCTCCAGATAACAGTGCAGTTGAGCTGAATTGGCAGTAATGAGAACGTTTAAAAACATGATGAGCACCTGCTGCTGATCCACTGCATGGTGTGAATGAGTTTGTGTCATCTCCTGTGAAAGTCTTACTATCATACTGAGATGGCAGAGAGATGGAAATATATCTACATGCCTTATTCATTTTTCGGGTACTTTTTTAATAACTAGTTTTTTACATTGATGAATGTGAGTCATGCAAAACTCACCAAACTAACTAGGGGATTCAAGGTGGTTGCCAAGGTGTTGCTATACTGTTTCTAGTGTGTTCTATGTAGTTTGGTTGGTTGGTTGTTCTGGTGGTTGCCAAGGTGTTGCTATGCAGTTACTAAGGTGTTGCTATACGGTTTATAGGGTACTTTGGTTGGCTGGGTGTTTCTATGTGATTGCTAGAATTTTCTATGTGGTAGTCATGGTGTTCCTATGTGGTTGCTATAGTGGTTTCTAGGGTGTTCTGGCTGGTTAGCAAGGTGTTGGTATGAAGTTTCTACGGTTACATTGTGGTTGTTAGGGTGTGGTTGCCAGGGTGTTGCTATGTGATTGCTAGGGTGTTTTGTGTGGTTTCCAGGGTGTTGCTATGGGATTGCTAGGGTGTGTAGTTGCCAAGGGGTTGCCAGGGTGTTTCAGTTGCTAGGGTATTGCTCTACAGTATTCTGGGTGGTTACCAGGTTGTTGCTATGTGGTTGCAAGTGTGTTCTGTGTAGTTTCCGGGGTGCTGTTGTTGCTAGGCTATTGCTCTGCAGATGATAAATTATTCTGAGTGGTTACCAGGGTGTTGTTATGCATGTCTTTGTAATTGCCTTTTTAGCAACACATTTTATGTGTTGCCTTTTTAGCAACACATTTTATATGTGTTTATATGAGGTTTTGTCATATATAGGTTCACAAGTGCATACATACACCTGTGAACCTGTAACACTTCAATCTCTCTCTTGCTCTCTCTCTCTCTCTCACACACACACACACACACACACTCTCTTTCACTTTCATTTGCATGTACATGATGAGAGAGACAGCAGCACTAAAGCGGAGAGGCAGATGAGGGCTGTGAGAAATGTACTTCATCTCTGCTGATGCTATTAGTCGAGGCTCTTTATGGATGAGGACGAGAAAGAAAGAGAGCGCTGCATATTTAATAGCTCTGCATTCGTATGTTGTCTTTGTCAAATGAAATAAATGCTGATTAGCATACTTGCCCAAAGGCTGGGCTGACTCTGACAGGAGTACACGTTTGCCAGATTTCCAATCGGAAAATTTGTTTGATTATTAAGCCGCATGCAGGAGAAGTGCAGGAGGCAGTGTTCCTGTAAATGTGTTCATTTCATTACGGCACACGTGGAAAACTTGTTTCTGTCTACAAATTGGACATTGTTCTGAAAGTTGGTGCTCAAAGGTTTGGGGGCAGTAAAAAAAAAAAAAAATGTAATGTTTTTTAAAGAACCCTTATATGCTCATCAAGGCTGCATTTATTTGTTTAAAAATATAGTAAAAACAGTAATAATGTGAAATATTTCTACAATTTCAAATAACTGGTTTCTATGTGAATATCTGTTAAACTGTAATTTATTTCTGTGATGCGCAGCTGAATTTTCAGCATCATTACTCCAGTCTTCAGTGTCACATGATCTTCAGAAATCATTCTAATATGCTGATCTGCTGCTCAAGAAACATTTCTGATTATTATCAATGTTGAAAACATATGTGCTGCACAATATTTTTGTAGAACCTGTGATACATTTTATTTTTCAGGATTCACAGATGAATAGAAAGTTCAAAAGAACAGCATTTATTTGAAATACAGATCTTTTGTCACATTATAAATGTCTTTATTGTCACTTTAATGATCAATTTAATCCATCCTTGATGAGCATCTATTTAAAAAATAAATACTTACCCCAAACCTTAAAACGTTTATTAAAAATATATCAAATATAATTCAAGGTTCTTCAAAGACTACCATGGTTAAAAAAAAGAGAAACATGGTATTACAAAGTACAAAAACGTTCTGTAAGTGTTGTACCGTAACATGTTGCCTGTAATGTAATCCAGTTTAGCAAGCAGGAATACACTGACAGTCATGTATTTCTGTTTGTTGGGTTTATTTGGCTCTTGCTTTGTGAAACTATCATTTGGATTCATGACATGCTTCAGGTGTTAGGTTTTATTCCATTAATAACTCAAGCGGCACAGAATACTGATCAGGATTGCGTTTCACTTCATAAATGTGCATTACACATACAGATGTCACTATTAAACTGTCAATATGTGATGATTTGAAGATATTCAGTATGTTTCATAGCATATTAATATGCTCAATAAATGATTCTGAGCCACCGTTAGATATCGGTGTAACATTTTGCATTTAAAGGTATGAGAAACAATGATCACATTTTAAGTGAAACATCAGTACTGATGCAATTTTGATGCATGGAAATCAAAACTGACCCTATTTACTTTCATAATGGTGTTATTGCGGCTGTTTCTGACATCAATTCCCTATGGATAAAATCAAGTCCTGGCCTACATTTATTGTCCATCTGTTTCATTCAGAAATGCATCACATTATGGAGGTAAACGGCTTGCGATTGTTGACTCTGAGGTGTTAAAAGACAGTGTGGACTATAATGTAGGAACTCGACACATCCCACACACACCACAACACATTCCCACCAAAGATCACTGAATAAAATCCCCTGTTGAGAGTAATTAGCCTTAATTAGTCTAAACGTTGAACTTGCACTGTGCTGTCCGTCTTAATAAAGCTCACAGAATAACCTCAGATGAACATAGAATTCCTCAGAGTTTTCTCTTTCACGGCTTAAGAAACTTCACATTTATGACTCATTGAAAGAACTGATTTCTTGCCGTTTCTCCTAAAATTGCTAAGAATAGACATTAATTAGTGAAATGTTGACAGATGCAAAGCACAGATCATTTAGTCTTGGGAGACTTATGTTTGAGTTCATATTGATATCTTTTTTTTTTTTTTTTCCAAAAGAAAAATACTTTTGCCTTCCACCGAGAAACTTTACGCTTGCAAAACTATTGCACTCCACAAGAAACTTTGCTTTAATTTGCAAAACAATTGTGATTCTCTCTTTAAATGTTTGCATTCCGCTGATGAGCTTTGTGTTTGTTCACTTGCAAAATATTTGCATTTTCTGAGAAATGTTGTTTTCGCTTGCAAAACATTTATTTGCTTGCAGAAATTTTTGCATTCCCCGAGAAACTGTTGACTTACAAAATATTTGTTTGCTTGCAAAATTTTTGCATTACCTAAGAAATGTTTTCGCTTGAAAAACTCTGAGAAACAGTTTTTTCTTGCAAAACATTTGTGTTCACTTTTGTATTCCCAGAGAAACTGTTCACTCACAAAACATGTTTGCTTGCAAAATGTTTGCATTCCACAAGAAACTTTTTCACTTGCAAAACATTTTTTACTTGGAAAACATTTGTTTGCTTGCAAAATTTTTGCATTCCCCAAGAAACTTTGTTTTCGCTTGCAAAACATTTGTGTTTGCTTGCAAAATATTAGCATTTCCTGAGAAATTGTTCACTTGCAAAACATTTGTTTGCTTGCAAGACATTTGTATTCTCGCGCAAAATTTTTGTGTTCTCTGAGAAATGTTTTCACTTGCAAAGTATTTGTTCGCTTGTAAAGTTTTTGCGTTCCCCAACAAACTTTGTTTTCACTTCCAAAACATTTGTGTTCACTTGCAAAATGTTTGCATTTCCCGAGAAACTGTTAACTTACAAAACATTTGTTTGCTTGCAAAACATTTGTGCTCGCTTGCAAAATGTTTGTGTTCTCTGAGAAATGTTGTTTTCACTTGCAAAGCATTTGTTTGCTTGCAAAAATTTTTCGTTCTCTGAGAAAAGTTTTGGAACACAGCAGGTTTTGTGCGAGCAAACATGGTTTCTCTTAGAAAAAGCAGTGAAATATAATTTTTCCAACACCTTTTCCTTTTAGAGGCTCCGTAGGATACTTCAGTCAGATCTCCATTTAATTCTGTTTCTGTCTAGCAGAAACAGTTGATATTCTGGGGAGATCTTTGTGTGATTTGTCTTCCCTACTGGACCTTAAATGTAGCATTCAAGAAACACATGTCATACTTTGCCTAAAAATAAACTTGAGATGAAGTCACTCTATAATTTCAGCTGTGATTTTCCTCTTTTGAATTACGCCCAGTACATTTGTGTTCAAAACTCTCTGATAAACCAGCAGACTGCTAGTGACAGAAAACCACAAATGACAGCGTGACGTTCCTCTCTTCACCCCCCAGGCGCCGCGTGTGTGTGTGTGAGACTGTGTGTGTGTGTGTGAGACTGTGTGTGTGTGTGTGTGTGTGCACACCCTTTAGATTCCACAGGAAAGGAGCAATTTCCTACTTCGGACCACAAAATTCACCCGCAAGCCACAGCTTTATAGGATAGTGTGTGTGTGTGTGTAGTGTGAGACCAAGACGATATCTTTCTCAGGTGTTTGTGTGTGTGTGTGTGTGTGTGTGTGTGCTCACCTTCTCTTATCTCTTCTTTGTGTTTTACAGCATCCATGATCACAGAAACCGGGAGAAGGTCGTGTCTCAAGCTGAAAGTCTTTGTGAGACCACCGAGTAAGTGTAACTGATTACAAAACACACACGGTTTGGAAACTCCCATGCCTTTCAATGCAACACACTTTAATGGACATTAATGGCAGGTGACTACTTCTGTGTGCTTTCCTCTGATTGGCAGGTGGGACGGGCTGCTGAATTACCACTAACATGATTGGCTTACGGTATCTTTTTCATTTCTTCTGTTTTTGTAGATGGCTGCGAGAAAACCATAGGCGTTCATGACCGCGTTTTTGTCGATGACAAAGTAGACAATGCATTAGAACCAAGAGGTCAGTATGGCTTGAAATCACCTTCGCTCTGTTCAGTCTGTGTGCTTTAGTTCCTCTAATCACTCTGTGCATGTGTATTAATGTACCTCGAATTGAGTTGCGCCTGCAGCTTCTCTGACACTTCGAACCACAAAGACTGTTTTATTTATGCATGAGGTACACATCGTATTAATAATGCATTCTCTTGTAATAGCTGAGGGCTGTCTGTCAACATCTCCACCCTGTGCTCAAGCAATTAAGTGACCAGAAATTAGCCATGTGACCTTTCAGCGAGCCAAAAGCTTCAGTCAGTCAGTGTCTATCATGCCTTCCAGCTGAAATGCATGGATTATACTCACAATATATGCATGCACGTTGGTTACGGGAAGAATTAAGATCCAAAACTTGGATATGCATGAAGGTTTTGTGCCAAATTAGCAGTGTTAGGTGGGACGATGCCAAGCTTGTTTTGGCTTCTCCCTGATGAAACCTATTACATCCAAACATATGGCACTTACTAACATATGCACCACTCGCGGCTCGTAATATTTATTGCCATTTCTGTCACGCCAGCTTTGACTTTCATGGTGTCATGATCAAACATTGGTGCTGCATTCAAATTCAAGATGTAATGAAATAGACAAAGGGGAAAATCTGAATGTTGACTATTGTTATAAAATCTTAACCAACCACTGTGACATGAAATGACCGTGACCACCGTTTGCTTTGTTTTTATGTGGCGTTTAATGCCAAATCTGTCCATAACCATATGAATCCAGTCATAAAAAATGCAGAATGTCACAAATGTGGCACAATTTGGAAAGTAGTGCTGTACATTTAATTAAATCACAATATGGAATAGTATATTAAAGCACAAAAAGACTATTAAATTAAGAAGTCTGACAGTCACTTTGTCAGCATTTCACCATTTAATTTAAGAAAACTCTTAAAATGCACAGAGCCAAAATTAGTCTGGTTAAACGTTCGGTTAAACTTGAAGAAATTATGACAGAAACATATTACTGTTGTGCAACAGAATGTTCTTCTCAAAATAATAATGATAATAACAGTAATAGCAATACAGTTTATTAAAGCATAATGTTTTAAGGAATATCAAATTTTTTTCATTCACATTTTAATTTAAACTGTAAATCTTTTGCAGCACTTTTATGCCAGAAAGATAAAAGGAATTGTTGAAATTTATTTTGTATGCATTTTAAAACATTAATTAAATTGTTAAAGTCTTGTGCATTAATTTGAATACCATTGTTTTTGACAATAAATTTGTATTAAAAATCATAAAACAGAACAATTAAGAACAGACAACAACATTTCTGGAAAAAATAGACATTTATGTATTTTATTTTTTACAATTTTAATAAATTATTAAAGTTTTATTAATTCAATTCATTTGATATGCTTTTTGATTTTCTAAATTTAATTAAACAATTAAATCAAATGAAATATAAAATTAAAATGGAAAACACTGTTTGGCAGAAAATAAAAGCAATTGTTCAAATTTTTTGTTAAAGATGAATTAAATTGCTCAAGTTTTATTCATTGATTTAAATACCAGTTTATGATGATAAATTTGTATTAAATCATAAAGAATGAAAATTATACAGAAAAAAAAATCACAGAATAATTTAAAAAGACAACACAGAATTTCTGGGAGGAAAAAAATCAACATTTAATTATTTTATTATTGTTACAGTTTAAATAAATTAAAGTTTTATGAATTCAATTGATTAAACATGCTTTGTGATTATTACAACATAATTAAACTATTAAATTAAATTTAATATTAACTTAAATTAGAATTGGGGAAAAAAAATTAAACACATTTCATAAAGGCCTACAACTGACTAGACAAAAAATGCTTGACAAATTTAGACTTTCTAACCTATAGATTTACAGATTATTTCACAGGTTACACTTTATTTCTATAGTCTGCTTTAGACATTCAAACTTATTTGCAACTACATGTCAACTAACTCTCAGAGTATTAGTAGACTGTTAGAGTTTGGGTTAGTAGAATAAGTTACGTTGCAAAGTTACTCATACACTCTAAAAAATGCTGGGTTGTTTCAACCCAACATTGGGTCAAATATGGACTAACCCAACTGTTGGGTTAAATTTTTACATTAAATTTTTAACCCAAAAGTTGGGTTAGTCCATATTTGACCCAAAGTTGGGTTGAAACAACCCAGCATTTTTTAGAGTGTAGTTATTAAGGCCTTTCCACACTGAGCGTGATGCGAAAAAGCGAGACGAACGGTGCTTTCACACCGAACGCGAAACGATTGTTCGCCTTCTGCTAATTCACGCCTGCACGCTAGGTGGCACCAAACAACAATGCATTTTTCCTCAGTTATGTATCTCGTAAATAGATTTAACATCATCCACTGCTCAATATACAGCATTAAATTAAGATAAACAAGGTTCTACGCCAGAAACAAACTATCTATAATGCTTACAAGAATAGGCTAGATCCTAAAATATAATTAGAAGTACAATTATTATCAAGCTACACTTGAAAATTTATGTAATTATTAATGTATTTGCTTACCCACTTTAAACCATCAACGAGTGCTTGTAATAACTTCCAATTGTGATCTATAGTTGATTTTGATTAATAAGCAGACACATGCACCCTTTTGTGAATGTGAGAATAAATCTGTTCTCAAATACCAAGGATAACAAGAACTCAGCATCCACTCTCTTCACTTATCCGGGATACTCTTCTTCAGTGTTTGTTTACACTGGTTTTCGAAACAGCGCCACCACTCTCACCCTTTTGTGCAACAGCAGCTGCTCCGGTCACGTGATCCTAGCTCATATCTGATTGGACGGCCCGTGTTTTCGCGTTGCGAATCTGAAAAGATCCGTCGGACTGGTTCGAAAAAAAAAACATTCGCATTTTCGGTGCGCGAAAGTTCGCGGTCTATGTGGAAGCATCCATAGAAATCTATTGTTTTATTCCAGTGCGTCATCGCATCCAATATTCGTTTCGCTTTTTCGCGCTCAGTGTGGAAAGGCCTTTAGAATGTCTGAAGTGAATTATCAAAATAAAGTGTTCTCATTTCACAGAGCCTGTTTCAGTGTGGTGAGCGGACAGTGGGTGATCATGGTGAAAAGCTGTTGAAAATGCACGCTTATATCAATTAACACTGCAGATAGTGTCAGTGTAGTTGAACACAGTATTGTTTTCTCATGCATTTTCTTGCCAACACACACCCACCCTGGCATGGGCTGCTGGCAGGCGCCGTGTCATGATGGAGGCATTGATTTATTAGTCCAGATCCCCACTGAGAGGCTGGAGGTGTCTGTCTGCCCGCCTCAATGAGCCAGCAAACTGCTCTGTCCTTCCCTCCCAAGCATATTTATCTGTCTCCTTTAGCGCCACACCTGTCCGTTTCTCCCGCTGACGTCCTCAGAGAGACGCTGTGCTTTCCAAAGCCATATCACGCTCACTGATGATAACCGCAGTCTGTGTCTGCACCAATAAACCAGCAGAACGGCACTGAGACTCCGTTATTACTGAGGATGCTGGGGTTATTTGCTGCTTTAAGTTTAAATGGCAAATGGACGTGCACCGGTGTTATTTTAGTATCTTTGAGATCATGATATTATAGTTTTAATTAATTATTAATATTTTTGTTTCATTTTAGTAATTTTGTTGAGTTTTTGGCCACAAACAGAGTACTAACTCTGAAAAAAAAATGAAAATGAAAAAAAAACAAAACACATTTGGCATTATTATTGTAATTAAATTTTAATTAAACCATTAAAATGCGATCCATAAAAATATATACAGTATATATATAAAATATAAAATATTATATATATAAAATAACAAATATATCTAATATTATAAAATATATCTTATATAATACAGCCCTATAACCTGCTGTACAAAACATTATTTTAGTATCACTTGGTCACGTTTAAAGTTTGTATTATTATTTTGAATTACTTTATGTTTTCATTTTAATTTTTAGTTAAAGTTTTAGTAATTTAGTTGTTTTTTTTAAACATGTCTACGTAGTTTTTAGTTTTCAGTTTTAATTTTTATAAAATTAATACATCGCTAAACTAAATGAAAATGAGAAATGTTGCCTTTCAACTAGCTGAAATAAACTTTTTCAGTGAAATACTTATTGTAATTTTTATTTCAATGAAAGTTTATTTTATTTCAAGCATTTCATGTTTTTTTATGGTTTTAGTTAAACACTTTTGGCACCATTATTGTTAAATGTTTTGTGAATGTATATATATATATATATATATATATATAAAATTGTAATAATGTAATGTAATCATTTTTCTATTAGGAACCAAATACGTTAAGGGGCTCCGCACGATGTTCCCCCTTTACATGGGTGGAAAAAATAAGCATTTGTTTGAATAGGCCTTATACTGTACACTATACTAATATCTCCTGAAAGTGCTTCGAGTTCAGCGTTTCCATTGGAGAAAATCAAGTTTAGTGTCATTTGTTGATTTCATTAATGCATTAGTTTGTTCTGTAGCTGTTAATTGGTGCCGTTCTGACTCATTTAATATACTGATGCGACATACGCAAGACATTAGAACATGGGCATTTTTCTTCTCCCGAAGCCTTATACGATAGAAGAACCGATGGGTGAATCTATTTATAATTTTGTAATTATACAGAATTTTTATATTCTGTTCTATATTTTAATTTGATCATTTATTTAAAAGAGTACATTATTTAAAGGTGTTGCGTGTATATTATAATCATTTAAAAATGTAACTTAATAATTGTAAAAAATGTCATAATATATAATTACATATAAATTATTGTAGTTATATAGATATGCAATTTATATACAATTACATTTTTTTAATTATTACATTACATTTTTAAGTTATAAAATTTTTAATTAAAATTTTGTTCGGTGTCACAAAAATCACACACTTCACCATTAAATGAAGTATGTATTTATCACCATAGTACCTGTTGTATTACCTTTTAAATATTTGATGATTAAGATATAAAAATATCACTACAGTAATTAGTAAATCAGTTGCAATAATCAAAAATGAGTTACACTGTACTATTGTAAAGGTACTATTGTGTAGGTCTAATTCGTTAATGTTGGCTAACAAGAGCTAAAAAAAAAAATAAGCAATGCATTTCTTACAGCATTTATAAATCGGTTAATGCAAATACAGTTGTTCATGTTAGTTATGATCATATGTGACCCTGGAGCACAAAACCAGTCATAAGGGTCAATTTTTCAAAATTGAGATTTATGCATAATCTGAAATCTGAATAAATAAGCTTTCCATTGATGTATGGTTTGTTAGGATAGGACAATATTTGGCAACTATTTGAAAATCTGGAATCTGAGGATGCAAAAAAATCTAAATATTGAGAAAATCATCTTTAAAGTTGTTCAAATTAAGTTCTTAGCATATTTACGATAGGAAATTGACAAAATATCTTCATGGAACATGATCTTTACTTAATATCCTAATGATTTTTGGCATAAAAGAAAAATCTATAATTTTGACCCATACAATGTATTGTTGGCTATTGCTACAAATATACCCCAGCGACTTAAGACTGCTTCTGTGCTCCAGGGTCACATATTAGGTCATGTTATGTTGAAATTAACATTATCTAAGATTCATAAATGCTGTAGACGTATTGCTACATTTACATTACTTCATGTAGCGGATGCTTTTATTCAAATCGACTTACAAAAGAGGAATACAAGAAGCGATTGTTAATAATGTTAATAAATGCAACCTCATTGTGAAGCACATTGAGAATAATGGAAATGGCAGAACAAAACTCTAAAGTGAAACATGCAAAAGACTTCATTTTCTTTATGAAAATATAATTTTGTGCAGTGAAATGTGATCTGGATGTGTTTTTGTGAGATTCACCCAAACTGTAGTTTGCCTGGTTACTCGCTCCGCCACTGACGATAAACAAAACTGTGGACTTTCAAACAGTTGCAAATTGGATAATGGTTTCTGCCTTTTGACTCTCATAAGCCTGTTTGCTTCTGCTAGTCCTGTTTGTTTTTGTTAACCAAGCGAATTCAGCAGCTCGACTTTGCCACATCAGGACTCGAGGAAACACACCATATGTGCTCCGTTTCATGGTTTACACTAGAAACCATGAAAGAAACTTCTGAAAAAATCAGCTTCAGTAGTATTTGTATCATTTGTACTCCAATTATTACCATTAATACCACGCTTTGTACACACTTTGAACTGGGAAACAGAATCAGCTTATTAAATGGATACTGTGTATCCTAAAGTAGTCAAAATTATACAATTATAGTGTTAGAATACTACTTGTTTTTTGTACCTTTCTGGAGGACGAGGAAAAATAGACACGTCATAAAACACTAATTATTATAATTCAGCATCACTGTTATTTGTTATTATGGATACCACATTAAATGTTATGATCAAAATGTGTTGTACATAATGTTTGATATTAAGGTATTAATTTGATTCACATGTCTTTTCTAAAAAAATAAAAATAAAATGAGTGCAAAAAGTGAAACGTTGGGATGTTTGCGTACGACAAACGCAAAACGCAAATCAGAGGCCACCTTTGAACTGCGGCCTGAAGCCCTGAGCCAATAGGATCGCTTCTTCCGTTTTTAAATGTTTTTGGTTTTCTATGAGGATGGATGGAGTTCAAAGGTGCAGCGTTTGTTCAGATGATGCTGTGTTTGCCGGACTGTCTGTGATTTTAACGGAAGGAACTTGCTGGTTTCATAATGTGGCATGTGCATGGAATTGATAATGACGAAACATGTTAAATAAAGTGTTCTTTTGGCTGTTTTCACCTCTTGTTTTCTCGACACGTTCGCGTGTGCTGTAGTTCCACTGAAATGAGAAGGTTACGCAGGACAGTGCTGTAGTTTTGCACAAAGCGCTTTGGCTAACAGCGTCCAGCACTGCTTTAAAATGTTTCTCGAGATGTTTGCTTATTTGTTTGTTTTCAATGATTTTGAGAATAAATCATCTGCCATTAGTCACGAGTCTCTGTCAGCGTCGAGAAACATTCAGAGTTTAAGAGTGGGAATCTGTTTAGTTTGTGTGTGAATTTGAACTGAACTGAAAGAGGATGTTGAATTGAAATTATAATCACAGGAGGAGGACATTTCTGAATTCCACTTAAAAAAAAAAAAAATTTTTTTTTTGTAAGATCTATTAATAAAATTTGAAATTTGTATGGTATGAGCTACAACCTTGTGTACTAATAATAAGCTTGTTTCAGAAAACTTCATAATGCATTAACTGGCTTTAATTCATTTTATGATCCATAAAACATTTTATATCATACAAAAAATTAATTGTATTACTTAATTACTTAAATGTTACTTTATGTATATTTATAACAATAAATTATAGAAAATATTACATATATATATATATATATATATATATATTACTTATTTATATACATTATTATTATAAATAGAAAATAATATTTAAAATAAAAAAATACTATAAAATACTTCACTTACATTTTTTTAAACTAAATATATTTTAAAACTAAATACAATTAATTATTACAAAAAACATCTACAGTTTTTTATCTTTTTATGATATAAAATGTTTATGGGTACTTCATACTGAAAAATACAATTGGAAATTTTTTTTTTTACTTATTAACTTTTATGAACTATGACATGAATCAAAGCCGTTTAAAATCAATGCATCAAGTTTTCTGACACAAACTTATTATTGGTACACAAAGTTGTAGCACCATACAACTTATACATTTTATTAATACATCCAAAAGATACTTTTGTTGTATACGTTTTCTATGATATAAATGTGTATGGGTAATTCATATTGAAAAATGAAGTGTATTATTTACTTTAAACCTGAACTTAATTTGTTTTAACTTTATGTCAATTCTGCGTCCTGTTTGCAGCTCAGTTCCACTTCTATTCTGAATTCTGCTCGACTCTCTACAGACTGCAGTCATTCTAGTCTTAGTGCGTTTTACACATGCCTTAGTCAACACACTCCTAACGAACAAGATATCCTACCTATGTGTGTGTGTGTGTGTGTGTGTGTGTGTGTGTGTGTGTGTGTGGGTGTGTGTGTGTGT